TTTGTCAACTTTGTGAAGACACCTGTGTGCTTTTTTCCCCTACCTCTTCTCTACACTGTTTATCTTGTTAAGTGAGAAAAACACAATGCTTTTATTTACTTTTTTATACTAAATTATCTTGTAAATTAAAAAACAGACCAATTTCCTTTTTTTTTTTTTTCAGGCAATACACTTCCGTACCAAAGAACTAGTACCGAGTGAACCGACACAAAGATCAGCCGAGGATAACCTTGAGAGAAAAACTGAGAGCAGAAAATAAATATATGTATAAGTTCAGTACCATAATCATTTGGAACCTTACAAATAATCAATAAGCTGAATATGGAAAGCAATAAGTGGTAATAATTTTGACACGCAAGTCTTTATTCTTCCCCTTTTCTCCTTGTTGTCTTCCTCTTTTTGTCTTTTTCTTTTTTTCTTTTTGTTTAATACTCTTTCTTCTTTTGCTTTCAATGAGTGTTGAGTGACAACTATGACAAANATTATATTATATTATATTATATTATATTATATTATATTATATTATATTATATTATATTATATTATATTATATTATATTATATTATATTATATTATATTTTTCTGGGTTCCCAAAGAGCCAAATATACAGACCCATGGTTTATACTTGTAGTGAGCACATGTAAAACAGAAACCTGTCCTATTTAGTTTAGTTGAACAATCAATAATATTAATCTTTAAACAGTCTTCATCACTGTAAAACCGAAAAGGTTCAGATCTGCATAAATCTCTGGGTTCTATCTGTTTTCCTATTCAAGTGTCTGGATTTAAGGCAAAGTTTTATCTTTCACCTGGACAATAAACGTCTGTTCCAACCAAGAAGTTAATTACAAATGAAACACGATCAAGTCAAGCTGACTGGAGGCCAGACAGGAGAGCACAAGAGGAAGGAATGTTATATGTACGCACAGGTTGCTATCTGAAAGAATTCTTTGCTCCTTAATATTGAAACTATCCACATTATGAGAAATGTTGTGACCATGTTTTCATTTGTTTGTGCTGAATTACAAATGTTTTAATGCATGTAAGGATGTTCTTTGTTTGCATGTTGATCTGCGGGTTAGCTATGCCCTCCACTGGCTGATAGTTAACATTGAACAGCCTCACTTTATCAGATTATTCCCAGGAGATCATCTGCCGTCAAACAACACAGAATATTCCACTTTCAGTCCGAAATTCAAAAAAATAAGGAGTCAAAGGTATTGTTTAGTTTACTTGCTGTATACAACAGCCAAATATTTGTTTCAACAAAGTCAATTTTATATCTTAATGAAAGATAAAACTACAAGTTCTTGAAACAGAAGGCAGTTATACTTATCTGTACAAAAACAGAAAATCACAATTTCGTACTTAGCAAAAAAAACAAACAAAAAAACTTTTATATCTTTACCTTTTTCTTCACTTTCCAGATTTTTTTTTATTGACCTTTGATCTCACAATGGATAAATTCACCTCTGCATCTTAACCCTTCCCCTTGGCAGCAGTGGGCTGCCACTGTGCGGCGTCTGGGGAACAATCAGGGGTTAAGGGTCTTGCTCAACATGCTGTGAATCAACATTTGCTTGGATGAGCTTAGAGTAGTCTCCCCCGGGGACCCGGACACTGGTCAGAGGGTGAGTGGGACTGAGAATGAGGGAAGAGATGGGGTGGAGGTGGGTTAAAGTTTGCTTGCATTCAGAAGAGAGAAGCTCGACCAGGAGCAGATCTTTAAAGATGATTGGTTTTAGACAAGTGGTGCCCCAGGTTGATTGGCTGGAGCTAAACAAGGGATATCTCAGGTGCTTCAGGCGAAGCTGACAAGAGTCTTCCAAATTGAATTTACACTTACCAAAATTCCAGCGGAAAAAGAAAAAACTTGTTAGAAATTACAATAAGAGTTTAACTAATGAAGGTAAAGATATTTTAATGGGTTATTCAGATGGTATAATTGATATCCAACATGCTCTTCTTAGTCAAATCTAATATTTCTCACTTCTTCATGTCGATTCTGCTTTTCTATCATTTACTTATCTCTTAAGAGATGATAGTTTTTTTTGGCAAGATACCAATTTCCTAGGTGAATGAAAAATATTGTCAAATTCAAGCTTTTTTGTATTTGTACAAATAATGGTGGTATTATCTCCTTAGACTTTAGTGTAAGAACATCAATTTGCTTTCATTTCTTCTTAATAATACTGATGCCAGTCAATAAAAGCTGGCTCCCTAACCTTTCATATGAACTTGGAGTTTGGTTTAGATCAGCTATTTTTACACATTAAAATACCCAATCCTGACCCAGGATAGCCAAGAAACTTAGAGGCGGACCAGCAAGTGGTAATTCTGGGAAAAAAGAGAAGAACATTTATTGAAAGCCAGCCATTATCCCTCCAAACAAATGGCACCTATGTCTATTGATTATATATAATTTCTTATATTATTGCTTACATAAATCAAATGCTGGTCATTTTATTGTGTGGTCAGATGGTGAAATATTTCATCGATCTATCAGGTAGTTAGATTGTAGTCTATTTCCAAACAGTCCAGTCAGGGACTCTCTTAAAGCAGTGGGGCATGAGGGTTTTTTATTTGATCTTTAGTGGCTAATTTTATCAGCGAACTATTAGAGTCTGTAAACTGATCTATAATCCAGAGGGATTTCCGAACAGATGACCAACAGATGTTTTTCTCGCATTTTTTCAGAAAGATTTTTTGGAAATCAACTTGAAGGTTGTTGTTGTTTTTTTTGCAACTAAAATCCCTCTGCTTATGTATTTTCTTATTTGCTTGTTTGTAGCTTCTGCTGTTGATGTTTAAATAATTCATGCTTCATGTTTGCTTTTTTTACAGAAAATTCTGTTAAATACGTTGGCTCTTTTCTTATTGTTTATAAACCTCGCTAAAAAACAAAAAGCTGTGATTTGACTGTGTAAATCCTCTTTGCCTTACTTCTCTCAGCTGATACTGTTTTTTTTAATCCTCTCTCCAGCATCTTATAATCATTGCCTTCCACTTATTCAGAACCACACAGCAGAAACTCCCAGACTTCCTCTCACCAGATACCTCCTCCAGGGAAACTGTCCCCAGGGATGATATCATCCAACCTTGAAGTCTTTGACAATGAACAAGTCCATCCCTGAGCAGCCAGTCTCTGCTTCCACCAGGGACGGCAGCTGGGCAAAGCAATTCTTAAAAGTATTCCTTCCACTATCCGAAGAGGTCTTCCGTCAAAGCCAGAAGCTCTCCACTCCCACTGTAAACTGTTTTAGTAAAGCACTGCTTTACTAATTGCTGCAGAGCTGCAGGACAGTTTGTCACAGTTGCTTTCAGGCTGACTGATAGCCTTTCCTCCCCCTGTATTTGATCATTACATCAGTGCATTTATAATGTTCCTATTATATGTTTTATTTGCACAAATTACTAATACTCAGTTTATACTATTTTCTGAGCAGAATCTTGTAAACACTCTGCTAACTTGTGTCTGTGCTTTTGTGACGTATAATAACTTACCTTATAGGCAAAGATACATAGATGGCAAATCCAATACCTTCTTAGTTACATTTTGTGCATTTAAACAATGCATTTTTTAACCTATATACCTAAAGGATGGCATACAAATTTAGTTTTTGCTTTTACCAACAATCCCCCAGTGTTATTTGAGCTCAGATCTTAATACAGGTAATTTCAATTTAAGAAAAAGTTTTGGAAAAGCTTTGTGTTTTATTTTTGTTGCTACAACCCCCCCATTTGACTGATTCAGAATCAGAATCATCAGAATCAGACGTACTTTAATAATCCCAGAGGGAAATTACAGCCTTGGATCAAATCAAAGTCACTCCAGCTGACCTTCTGCAGGTGGATTCAGCTTTCATGGAGAAGCCAAACCATCCTTACAAGTATATAGTTTTGAGAAATGCACAAAAATGTCCTTTGAACACAGCTATTTACACTTATATGCACATATACACACACTGCTCTGACCCAATGCCTTCATAGATCAGTTTAGTGGTAATCTATAACTCGACACGATGCCTTGGTTAGACTATGAAGCTGCTATAAGCTGCATAGTTATTTGGATTCATTTAGACACATCATATAATGTTCCTTTCCTGCCTGCTTAAAACCCCTTACCTTTTATAGGGAACACATGTGAATTAAACTTTGAGTACAATCATACATTTTAAGCAAATAGAATTCATTGAATCATATCTCACAAATGCAAATATGAGACTTGTTTTATTGGTAAGCTTAAAACTGATATTACTGATGTTGTTCATTAAACCCATATCTCTGTATCAAAATGTGTTTTTATTGATCTGACATAATAAATGAATGATTTTACATGAATAGTCAAATCACCATAATGTTTTAAAAAGATTGGTTGAAATGACCCTGCCAGTATGTATGTAACTATTCTCTATAATATGTTTCAGTTAATGCAACAGTAAATTATCTTTTCAGTAACATTGTAACCCATTAAATGTGTTGGTAGATTCAAGATTAATGAGGAATTTCCATTATTTAAACTAAGCAGATAGTGAGATTAACTAAAATTGACTCTGATCAAAGTCGGTAATCAATACCCTCTTGCTGCCTTAAACTGTTTTCTCTGAAATGTCAAAGTTTTGACAGTAAAGTCAGAACTCTAAAGAATAAAGTGTAAAGAAGTAAAATCTTTGCTTTTGGAGAACCATTATGTTTTTGTTTCCTTTAATTCAGAGTAAAACAGAAGAGTAGACTGAACTGGAATCGGGGCCTTAATACTGCCATTTTGGGGGAAATTGAGAAATACTTCAGCCTCATCACTGCAGATCCTTGAGAAACATTTTTGCCTATTGTAAACAGAAAATAACACATTAGCCTGCCTGCTAATAGTTCCTCATCTCCCGCTTCTGATTGTTAGTGGTCACCTGTCCAGGTGAACCCTGCCCCTAACCTGATGCATGATGGGAAACCCCTTAGTTCAGCTTAGATAAAATCTGGACTGGAAAAGCAACACACACGGAGGAAAAGTGGCAGGATGAGAAAGTAGATGGATTTTTTTGTTATGCAGCCATTTTCTGGGGTAGTAATTTCCTGTGGAAAAGAAGTTTGTAGTTTTTAGGGGCCGCATGAGCAGCCCCTCCCCTCTGTGTCTGTGTATAAATGTAAAGGTTTGAAGGAGGGGCTCCAGCTCTTCAGCTTCATCTCTTTAGTCCAGGAGAAAAACCACCAGAAAGCAACATGTTGCCACCGTGAGTAAAGGCTGATTATACTGAGATTTATTCATTTGATGTACAATGCTTTTGATTGGAACCGTATTGCTTTTATCAACCGATATCATATTGTTATTTCCTGGATGTATTGATCCCTCTAATGCTTTGTAAAGTTTCCATCATTAGTATGGAAAGATTTTTTGGAAAAAAAAAATTTTAAAGATACATTTCAAAACTACATGTTCAACCTGGATAATGTGTTTTTTGTAAACAGTATACAATTCATCTAGATACGTTCAGTGCATAGAGAAGGAATTAAACTTCAATTTCTATATCATATGAACTGTACTGTTTCTTCTTAGTTATACTTTTCTACTTTTGCAGATATTTCGGCAACAACTAAAAAAACTATGATGTATTTGAGTCAGTGAAACCTTATTTTATTTTATACATTTTTAAATCTAGTACATTAATTATAGGACATAATTAAAAACAGCTGTATTTTGGCGTTGTATTATAATTATTCTGTTTTTAGTGTAATTTATTATTTTTAATTTGTCCAATTAAGCCAAGTTTTGTGTTTTAAACTGTGTGGTTTCCGTAGACTATTAAACATCTTTAAGCTTAGACTGTATTGATTTATTATACATTTAAGGGGACATTTTATAATAATAATGTGGATAATTGCTGTAATTTCTTTGTTTGTTATGAAGTTTCATATTTCTGTAAAAATCTGTATTATTACACATCAATGAATGCTCCATAAATGCGTTTTATGAAACAGAAACCTACTGATTGTGTCGATCGTCATCCTTCTGGCCACTACGGCATCTACTGCGCCTGTGGAGGGTAAAAAAACAAAATTAGATTTTATTTAACTAATTCATATAAAAGAAAAAGTTTTTCTTGGCCTTTGAAGATGATAGCTTGTGTTGTGTCTTCCAGAGAAGGAGGTGGAGGAGGTGGAAACGGAGGCCACTGAGATGTTGGAGGGGGAGGTGTCTGAGGAGGAGGAGGGTAGGCCTCTGTGTTAGAAAAGAAAACAACAAAACCCAAAGTATTTTCCCTAAAGAACAAAAAAGCTCAAATTGAATCTTCCTTTGAACTGCATAGTGGAGGATGATCACTAAACATAAACATTAAATATGCTGAGAGCTCTATTTAGAGCATAATCCTCACTTCATTATCAAACTGTGTGACTAAATATCCGATAACCTTTAACTGCATTGACATCGCTGCCAGGTTAACTCTGACAACAGGCCACTATTATTTTCTGACTGTCGTTATTTTAATCACATTAGCAAGAAATGTCTTTATATAGACTTCTGTGGATCATAGAGATTGACTATTAGAGCCTTTTGTTCCAATAGTTGGTTAGACATTTGGTAAATTGAAGACTTTGTTGAGAGGAGGAAGACAGCGCAACATATTAGAATGACAAAGAAAATATCTTTCAAAGATTCACTTTATATTTGATTGTTGAAGTCTATATATTTTCTATTTTGTTAAACAGAGGAAAGTTTATTCCAGAAGGGGATAAATAAATTGTGGTAGTAGATCTATCATAGGCAGAATATTACTTAGAGATTAATTCTATTGTAACAGTATAAAACAAAATGTCTTTCTGATATGATGCTAATTCACAGGAATCGAAGAGTAATTTTACCAACAGGTGGATTTATGACATGTTTAAACAGGAACCTTAATAATAATGTGTTTTTTTATTTAATGGCTATTACAGTTTAACCATTATAACATCTTCAGCAGATCAAGATTGTAAATCTTTAGGTTAAATATTTGCCTCATTATGGCAGACGGGGATCAGAAGTCACATCCTAACAGAGAAAATCCCTTAACTGTGCCGCCTTTCAAAGACGTGGCTGCTTATTGATAAAAAGATATTTTTGCAAAGGCACCCACTGCCAAGATGCAGTCAGATTCTGGAGAGCGTTTGAACCGTGATATTTTCTCTTTTTCTATTTTGCTTTAATTTTAGTTTTTTTTTTAATGGATGAAGTCTCTAACAAAAACAGTTTTATTTGTTTTGTTTCATTTGTATGCATATAACCAATATTCAATTGTTTTTATTTATTTATTTTTTTTTTTACCTAAACCTTCATCCTGACTCTCAACCCTATCACCTCAGATGCATTAAGCTTTAAGGACACCTACCATGCCTATTCGTCAGTTATTTACAGCCCGATTCAGTAAATTAGAATTTATTAATAATTTAATCTATATCAGTAACTCAGTTTTCTAGGTGAAACATGATGTATAACTTACAAATAAATAATACACAAACGGATGCTCTTAATTGTTTGCTGCTTTTAATTAAGGTGATTTTCTGCAAACAGCTAATAAAAGTATTACATCAAATTAATAATATAAAAATAAATAATAAAACATTTAATACAGTAATGTAAGCTTCAGAGAATACTGTGTCATACCTTTAAGGAATATTGTAATTAAAATGTACTTTTAATCTAACAGATATTGAGCTTAATAAGCAGCTATGTTTCATATTGATAAACATGGCTGTGTCTCTAGTGACATGCTTGACATCACCACAAAGTTATACAGTTATAGTTAAATCTGAATGTAACTCAGATGTTACAATAACAGTCATTATATACCCATAAACTGTCTACTTAGGATGATTTAATTAGAATAGACTTTGCTTTATTAAACAGAAGAAAAGGTCATAATTTAGTAGCCAATAATCAGAAACTCAGGGTGTATCAAATAAGCAGAGTAAAAGCATGAAAATTAACTCATATTGATTTACATTTTTTTTAGTTTTTATTCAACTAGGTTTGAAAGGAACACAAAGAAGTAAATATTTCAACAAAAATCCTAATGCAAAGAGACTTTACTGACATGTTTCCCCTCTGCATCTATAAAATAGAAGTTAAACCTTTTTTTTAATTAGAGAAATAAATGTTGGATTTGTCTTCCTTTTCAGATGATGATGATGACTCCAAGAGTCAGGATAATTTTGATGGTGAGCAGCTAAAACGTTATGACCTTTACATATAAACCTGCATAAATAAATTAATCTAAATTCTAAATTTAAATCTCAGATCTCCCTTTTTCACCAAATCATTTAATCAAGATTCAAGGCTTTTTCCTGATTTTCTAACCAACCTTTAGAATAATTTAAACCTTTAAACCACATTTGTTTCTTTGGAATAGCACTTTTAGTAAAGACAGTAATAACTTTCTTTGCCTCCAGAAAATGACCATGCCTTTCATGAATATTTGATCAATTCATACCTTAAATCCAGAGTTTATCTGCAGGAATCCTTTACAGACTTTAGTGCCACAGATCTTTTTTTTTTTAAATAGTCTTTCCTTTACCTGATGGAAACACAAGGTTTATTCATGGTGAAAATCTGATCCTCATCTTCCTTCCTGCAGGAGCTCTCGGAGCTCAGAAGACCACCATGTCGGCTCCAGCAGCCGGAGGTTCAGGTGAGTCAGCCCTAATCAAGTTATTCCCTCCTGAAAAGCGTGCTTGTTTCCAGTTTGGGCTCATATTTAATCCAGATTAACCTGCTGGTATTCTACCCAGGATTAATTTGAGTTAGTCCAGTCCACTTCCTAAAGATAGTGGCACTATTGTCACAGGATGCTGTTATTAGGGATTCGGCACCATCTGCTGAAAAAGGTGTGTAGTACAGGGAAGAGTATTTACCAATAAATGTACACTATAATAGAAACCTGCATGCCATATAAAAGCACAAGGAAAATCAAATGTTTTAATTATAATCTAAAATCTAGAAACTGTTAAAATTTTGTTAATTATAGCCTTTAACAATGCAACTACAAACCTTTTATTCTGGGAGTTTTAGAAATACACCAGCGTAAAGTAGTGCACATTAAAGCAAAGCAGTGGAAAATTACACTAAATGTTTTTTTTAAGCATTAGTATTTAGCTAATATAATTGGAAATTGCTAATTGTTTTCCATTCATTTTGACTGAACATGGTCTGTCTTGCCAAGAGAACAAGCTATTTTTATATCTCTATATCTGGTCATCTGGTGGAGATATACTAAACAACAATAGAGCTAATATTATTGGATTTGCAGACAGTTAAATTGTAGAGAGAATTACATACACATAATACACTTTTTAGATTTGAATGTATCAAAACCTCTGAAAATTATGAATTACTTCCTTTCAACCTCAGAAATTGCCTTTATTTTGGGGTGCTCAATTAGTCCCACTAATCTACATAGGTTTTTGGTTGTTGTATAAGAACATGTGACCCAAAACAAAAGCAAACAAACAAAATAGACATGATCTTATGTTATAGTTGGTCTAATGTGAAAAAAAAAACATTAAATATGTCCTCTTTGCGTTCACAAATTAACTAAATCAAAGAATATTGATTAACTGCATTTAGCAAACAAACAATCTAGTTTCAGTCTTATCACTCCAAGGAGTTTAGACCTTCAAAGCAAAGATGATGAAATTACCTCAATTCATTTAGGAATATCTAGAAAAGTCTTTAATCAACCAGCAGAGAGCTGAAGCCAGATCCTGTTACAATGCATTCAATTAGTACACCACAAGGGGGCGCAGAGTGTCCTTTAAACATGTAAAAAAGTATTTGGAGGGTGTCCTTTGAGGGTTTTTAACCCCCATCAGGAGAGCGCCCTGGGTACGCAGCCATATTACTAAATTACTTCCTCTGACTCATGTAAGGTTTGTTATTCTGATTCTAGCAGAGGCTCAATTTACACTTCTTAAGGATTCAATTATTACTCAGAATATTGCTTCCAATTTGAACATATGTTTGATTTACTGAATAACTACTAAAAAATGTTTTTATATTTTTAGGACTTTTCTAAGAAGCTTTAACTAAAGTTATAACTAAAAGCTAAACAGTATCTAAGCCATCTTCACAAGTTAAATCTACTTCTAAACACACATTCAGAGGGGCTTAATAGTATTGAGTTTGCATATATACATGACATGATTAAAATTTGACTTAGACTCAAACAGATCTACAAACGTTTTTTCACTACTTTAAAGATTAATTTCTTTACTGAAATACTACAAAATAAAAGTTTATTTATTAATTGTGTGTCTTACTCAGAATTCAGTACTTTATGTCTAAATACTAATGGGACTATTATTAATTTGTTGTTGTTGTCAGCTTTGAGTGGCCAGGCTCTAGAGGCAGGACCCCATGTTGGAGCTGCAGGAAGCTCTACAGGTAAACAAGCTTATGAAGTTGAAAAAATGTGTTTAAGGATTAGTCTGTCTATGAAGCTTGATGTGGTTTCTGTTTTACTAGTAGAGTTTATCGACATTCACAAAAGCCAAGAATAGATTTTCAGTATTAATTTCTTTAAAACATTTAGTCATTATTTTTAACTTCAGATAGTTACACAGTTGAAACCAATAATAAGGCCAGAAAACATAAAACAGATGGGAAGTTCTCAAATGTTTATTCTGAAAATGTAATTTGTGGACGAATGAATTCATTCAATGTGGGTGAATGGATGTGAATGAGTGAGGGGGTGAGGGGAGGGAGGATTTTTGGTTGGTACATTAACTGTTTAAATGTCTCCTGTGCTGTGATATTTGTTGCTTTAATAAAATTAAAATAAAAAAAAGCTTATGGAAATTCATTAGAATATTTCTACTAATTAATAATAACTCAATATATGTTGAGCTGCAGATTTTTTAGATGATTCAATCGGATTTATCAAGTGTTTGTTTTGTGTTGCTGAAGAGGATGTGGATATTTCCAGAAGTCACTGGTTTGGTAGTTCAGTTTTGTTGGTCATCTTATTTCAAGGGAACTTTTTAAAATGTGACTAAATGTGTTTTTCTTTTCTCCCATCGGGTTATGGGGGATATATAATGGTTTGCCTGGAATACACGGTTGCTTAGTAACATTTCTGTTGATAATTTATTTTATCTTAAGTTTGATTATTACAATGTTTCTATTTGCTCAACGGTTTAAATGAAGTTGTGTTAAGTCTTGGGTTAGTACTGGCTGGTCACGGATTTTAAGTTTATTTTAAAGGTAACCTTTCAGTATTGTTTGATGTCTCCTGTTTGAGTTGGGTTAATTCTGGTCTTTGGTCAATATTTTATTGTATTTTGTTGTTTTTGTTTGATGTGGGTGAGAGATTTGTTGGGTTTTTGTAAGCCTAAAATGTGGTAGATTACTTTTGGAGGATCAATGGTTGGTTTTGGGTATTAAGTGATTTTTTTTTTTATGTTGATTTACAGTTTGGTTTTGAGAGATCAGTATTTAACTGGTGACTGAAGATCATGTTTATCTGTTTAATTGTTGGTTGGATAGCTGTTCAGTTAACATTTGGTGAGGATTGAATTCATTAATTGATTTTATTTTTTTGGCTAAGGTTAGTGTTTAGTTATTTTTATTGGTTTCTGTTTAGTTAGGACATGATTCCTTGTTTATGCATGATTGGTTTGTATGTTGTTTTTTTTTTGTTTTTTTTTTTTGTTTATGTCAGGTTTGTAAATAGTTTAACTCATGAACAGCTGCTATTTTAGCATTTATGCAAATATACATTTTTATGATCAACTTTATTTCTCTTGAAATTAAACTCTATTCAGTGTTTTTAAGGATAGGTTTGAGAATAAGCTTAGAATGTTCTCATATATTTTCAACCTAAAAGTCTTTTTCTTGTTTCTTAGGTCAAGGAGTTGATCTCTCCCCTGTCCAGTTAGCAGGTGATTTCTTTTCTTTTTCTTTTTTTTTTACTTTGTGGTTCTTTAGTCATTAGAATAATAGAAATGTTCACTCACTATAGGTTAGTGTTTCAAACAGCAATGTTAAAAGATATATTTCTATCACTGACTGAAACATATGATGAAAAACCTTCTGCAGTCTAGGCATCTTTGGTTAAATTTTAATTAACTCTTTTTTATTTTCTTTTATTATCAATACAGCAGCTGGACCTCCAAACAGCTCCTCAGGTACAAATAACAATAATTCCACTGATTCATTTTATAACTCCAGCTTTAAGTATGTTTCCTCCAGTTTGACTCTGAATGTGGTTGAAAATGTGATGTGCTTTAATTCAGGGTTTAGACAAGAAAACCTCCACCCATAACCTGTTATTGTTCTGATCTTGATCTCTCAGGCTCTGCAGTATCTCCAGGTTCTGAAGGTTCCATGGGTTCTGCAGCCTCTGTAGGGTCTGCAGGATCTGTAAGTTTTTTGGGCCCAGCAGGATCTGCAGGTTCATCGGGGTCTGTAGATTCCATGGCTTCTGCAGCCTCTGTAGGTTCTGCAGGATCTGTAAGTTTTTTGGGCCCAGCAGGATCTGCAGGTTCACAAGGCTCTGTAGGCTCCATGGGATTTGCAGGCTCTGTAGATTCTGCAGGCCCTGTAGATTCTGGAGGATCTCTGGGTTCTGTAGGTTCTGCAGGTTTTGTGGAGTTGGGAGGATCGCCAGGTTCTGTACCTGCTGAAATCTCTGGTGTTTCTGCAGGTCAAACTCATTCAGCAGGTAATCAAGAGATATACAGTATCTGGTAGAATCCTGGGTCATACGGGTAAATCTACTGGTGTTGATAAAATGGAACTGTTCAATGGAAGTCACTTTTGTTTTTTAGGAGCTGAACGCCTACCAAGTTCATCTAGAACAGACGTGAACGGTAATTTGTCTAAAGTTATTATTTGTCATTTCATCTTTTGGTGCAGTTACACAACAGGAGCTGTTTGGTTCAGGGTCAATCTTTGGCCATAGTGGAACAATTCAACCAGTCAGTTTAGAAAAGAAATGTAAAGGATGATCAGCTGCAGAGAAAACTAAGGAGGGGAAAGGAATGGCTAAGCTGGATTCAGACAACATTATCAGTATTTCACGTTTGGCGTCCCTATGTCTAAATTCCAGCATAATGGAAAGAGGGAACAATAAAGCATCTTAAACAAGTAAATCGAACTTAAAAGTCAATAAATTGTTGTTGTGTTTTTTTATCCTACTACTCTTCTACCCCCTTGGATCATTACATGGGCCTCCAGTGCAGTACATAACCGACTGATTAACTTTTCCACTTTTAAACCTCTGATATAAAAGCCTTGTCTGTGTCTGCAGGTCCAGATGGTGTAGACTCAGAATCCAATGGTGAATTTATCTAAAAATTACTTTAAAACATAGTGTACCATGTGATATAACCGACAACATACACATGTAGTTTGTTTTCAAAAAGGAACATGGAGCTAAACATCAGGACAATCAAAGAATGTTTTAAAGCTTGTAAATCCTGATTTATTCCCTTAAAAATCAATGGAGTCACTTACAGCAAACTGTTATTTACAGGTAATGGGCAGAAGCTGCTGAACGGTGGAGGAGCTGGGGCTGGAGTCGAAAGTCAGACCGGTGAGCAGAGGGATAAATGGAAATTATTTTAATATAAAGGAAATTTTAACAGGCTTCAATCAGATGGGGCTAATCTTTTGTTTTGTGTATTATTATATTGTAAAATCACTGTACAGTACAAAACTCTATTTGTTTTATTTTCTTATCTGTTTTTATACACTTTTCTAAGGTCCACATTGTGTGACTACTTCTACTTATAAAGTTTAATGATAAATAGGAATGACTCAAACCTGTCAGGAAGAAATTTTAGGCCTTAGCGCAAACAAAAACTTATCATCCAGATCTAAATGTGATTTAAATTCTTTTGCTGATGTTCAACCATTTTTGTATGAATCTATTAACATTCATCGTTAGAAAAATATAACCGGCATCATACCCTTAGATCAATAATGATATTAGTAGTATAAGTAGTCATAGTATAGTTATCTTTTGTTGGTATAATTAGTTATTATTATTAAATGTTCAATAATCAGTCCTATATCCATTTGTATTTTTGTTAAAAATAAGTATATAAAAATCAACAACTTAAGAGTTCAGAAAATGCAGATCAGATAGTTTCTATAAACTTGTAGAACTGATTTTGGAAAAAAAAAAAATCTAATGTACATAAATACTCAGGTGGTCTGGTCGATCTATTTATATTAAGGTGCATTAAAAATGTAAAAATAAAACAAAAAACATAATATTTTCATATTTTCAGAAAATTGTTGGGGGGTTTTATATAAATATTTGCATAAAACCTGCACCTAAAACTTCTTCTGCTCCATCAGGAATCATTGATCCATCCAGTCATGACTACCTGCACAACCTTATGGGTGAGTTACTGTGTTGCTCTTGTTTTAGCTTCATTTTTTTGTTGTGTTTTGTCTGCAAAATGAAAACGATAAATGCTTGACATAATCTGATTAAAAGAATGAATTATCTCCTAAAAAACAAATAATAATTAAATAATTTTTATATTTCATTGACACAGATAATCATTTAGAGGGTGATGTCTAAATGTGTTTGCACTGTGGCAGCATCATTCAGTTGATCATCTTGTAAGATGTCTAACCGACAAGATGTTTGACTTTCAATTTCATTCAGTTTATTTATATAGCGTCAATTCACAACACATGTCATCTCAAGGCACTTTACATTTCACCAGATCATACAGTCAAAGTGATTGAAAGTTTTCTATCAAAGGAAAACCAGTTGATTGCATTGACTCATTGATTCAAATGCAATCCCTCACACTAAGCATGCTTGTAGCGACAGTGGAGAGAAAAAAACTCCCTTTTAACAGGATGAAACCTCCAGCAGTACCAGGCTCAGTGTGAGCGGCCATCTGCTGAGACCGACTGGGGTTCAAGGAGACAGAGATACAAAAAGCAGCTTTAAAAGGCGGCCCCGTCCAGGAAACACACAGCCAGGCAGACGATCACCAAGAAAGCTCCCATGTCAGAGGATGAAGAGAGCACATCCAGCCAGTCACACTCAGAGAAACAGGGCTACACTGAAAAACAGGCCGATCTCCAACACCTATAAACAAAGCAGAGCTACTATTAGAAAAAGCAGAGAGAGCATAACGTTAGAGATTGAACTAATAAATTCTGCAGAGTGGGAGCATAGAGATAGAATGAAGCAGGATGATGAAATAGGGGTCCCTATGTCCTCCAGCAGTCTAAGCCTATAGCAACATAACTATAGAGATAGCTCAGGATAACATGAGTCACTCTAACTATAAGCTTTATCAAAAAGGAAAGTTAAGCCTAACCTTAAAAGTAGACAGGGTGTCTGCCTCACAGACTAAAACTGGTAGTTGGTTCCACAGGAGAGGAGCCTGATAACTAAAAGATCTGCCTCCCATTCTACTTTTAGAAATTCTAGGAACCATTAATAGAGAGAAATATTA